ACGTGGAGCGGACTTCAGAGGAGTCGATCTCGCTCCCCCCATCATTTGGATGGATCTACACAACCAGACACATCCTTCCAGATGTTCGTTTGAAAACTCTTATTTTTTCTTTGCCTCTTCATCTGAAACATCTTCTCAACTCTCACTTTAGTTCTTTTTGTAGCCATTAATGTATTTCTTCATTCTATAAACTAGCCAGGGATCATTCTTGGCGGATCTGACTGGACAGGAAATGATCCTAGAATAAAACAAACCCAGAGTTTTACTGAGACCCGTAATAAAAGTGATGAATCTAGCTCTTCACGTTTATTTTCTTCCTCCTTTCTTTAAGAGTTGCTCCATCTCCTGTTCGTCCCATTCATCATCATCAGCAGCCTGCCCAAAATGTTTCCCCTCCATCCAACACCCGTCCTCATCTTCACTCTCATTGATCTTCTCATTACTGGTCAGATATTTTGCTTTTTCCTTTCGCTTTTTTGTCTTAGAGTATGCATTTTATCAGAAAATACCCTCTGGCAGCCCAAGGAGTTTTTAGTCCCTACATGTTTATAAACTGAGCTGGTAACACTTCCTTTTACAGTCCCCCAATTACTAAGTACTTGCGTGATAATTATATAGTAAGTTAAAGTATATTATTGTGTAATTAAAGTGTTTAATTGTCATAAAGTGTAATTACTGTGTAAAGCAGTATATACTGGGAATGCTTGATAAAATAAAAACTAGAATTGAACTTGTGTTACATGGTAATAACTGTTTAAGGAGTCAGAAACAACATTACACTTTAACTTACTAAGTAATTACTATGTAAGTACTTAGTAATTAGGGGACTGTAAAAGGAAGCGTTTTGGGTTTATTATGTAATAATTAAATAACAGGAAAGAAAACGATAATAAAATGGCATCTGTAGATCCTCCACCAGAGGGCAGTAGACTTGTGTAGAACTGGATAAAGCAGGTTCATGAAGAAGGTACCAATCCTGATGCTCCATCTGGATGCTGTAAGGACCGTGGGCGGTGAAACACGTTTCTAGCTACAGTAATCCCTCGCTACTTCGTGGTTCGTTCATCGCAGATTCGCTGCTTCGCGGATTTTTTCTTTGGAGCATTTTTCAGGGGGAATTCGCAGATTTGCGGTATTTTTCACTGATTCGCGGTATTTTTCTATGCGAAATATCAAGAAATTCTTGTTTTTTTTCATCAATTTCGTCATAAAATGCACTTTTTGTAATAAAACTAAAAAAAAACAAGTAAAAACAAATTTTTTCTTGAGTTTTACCCACAAAAAGAGAATGTGATCATACGATAATTCAATATAGTACTGTATGTCAGACAGGTCAGCTGGATTCGGGAGCTGAGCTTGTAGGGAGCGTGGTTTCACAGACGCGGAAGTGATCTAGGAAACCCCCGAGCGTTCGAGCGTCAACGAAGTGACACGGAAATGCCGGGCTTTCCAGAAGAAAGATAACTTACTATGAGCTGATAGTTCGTTGGATTGATCGGTAGGTTGGAAACTCTGATCATGAATCTGAAGAAACGATGACTGAGTGGTGAGCTGGAAAGGCGACTTCCGTTTATAGCTGCGGTTTGTGACGTAGGTGCGACGTGGAGGGAATCCCCGCGAGGGGCCTATTGGGAGTCCCTACTTTGCGGATTTTCACCTATCGCGGCCAGGTCTGGAACGCATCTACCGCGATAAACGAGGGATCACTGTACATCGGTGGACAGAAAACCATCATTGAGACTCAGCACCAGCCAGTGACCTTTCATCGCATCAGAGATGGTGGGGTGACCAATGCGTGAATCGCGTCATGGTTGCTGTCTCTTCAAAGCTTCGACATCAAAGTACGCTACGCCCAGAACCGCCGTAGCCCTCTTGGCATGGGTTTGGCTGCGCGCCAACACTGCTCGGCGGATGCTGTCATGTCAGTGTTGGCACGCAGCCAAACCCATGCCAAGAGGGCTACGGCGATTCTGGGCGTAGCGTACTTCGATGTCGAAGCTTTGAAGAGCCAGCAACCTTGACGTGATTCGCGCATTGGTCACCCCACCATTTCTGATGCGCCGACTGTTAGGGAAGGCCACTGGCTGGTGCTGAGTCTCAATGATGGTTTTGTGCTAATTTATGTCAGTCGTCCACAAACGTGCTCATCTCTGCTGTGAAGTTGGCTTTTTTAACATGTGAGGCGATGGGAACTTGCACCTTTCTGGAGCCAGCCCCTAGTGGATGAGTGGGGAACTGCAGTTAGTCACTTCTGCGTTGGCTTCACTTTTAACAGACGGAGTTTCCACCTTTAAAAACACGTGTTTAGCAAAAGAAGTGAAGTTCATGAAGCTTAACTCCACGGTAAGATTTCCTGTTTGAGTAAATCACCTTTAGCTGGACTGACGTGTGATTAGAATTGTTGCTTCGTCGTAAGACCCAGTTTAAGATTTGATGACTGTGCCAGCTCCTCGTTTTCTATTTTAATATAAAATTTTCTCTTTAAATCATCTTTACTTAT